GTTTATCCATAAAGGTCACTTTGCGAATAAAAATGATAGATCAGCTTTTCCCACATATGAGATTACAGCTTTGTGTGGTTGTAGGCAAATGTTGAAGCTCTTGTAAGTTACTGCATCTTTCACAGAGTTAAACCTAGTTACACTACCAACAGATTTGTTTACAACAGGTATTTGGAAACCCCAGCTGTTAAAGGCTGACACTTTAGTAAAAGCATGATCACGTACGTTTCAGACAAGCACACTGCTATTGTTGAAGATCATACATGGAAGGTGGACACACTCGGATTCCAATATGCGTTGAACAACTAAACCAGGAGCCAGATTTTGCCTTTACATGAACCATATATACTGCAGTTGAACAGAAACTATGTGCATGCAAGGTAAAGGGGCTTCATACATTTTAGGCATACAGTACTCTACTCACCATGTATTGATTTGCCAATCCTCACAATTGCTCGGTTACGATACATTACAGTATAAGCCCAAGCAAAATGTTCGTTTGTTTTAAATAGAGTTCGGAAGGTTTAAAACAGGGGTAGCAAACCTCCGGCCCTCCAGCAAACTACAAATCCCATGATGCCTCTCTCTTCGGGAGTCATGTCTGTGGCTGTGAGAATCTTGCAATGCCTCATGGGATTTGTAGTTCCACCACAGCTGGAGGGCCGGAGGTTTGCCACCCCTGGTTTTTAATAGTACTGTCTATGAGATTTTCTCCCACTTGATTTTGATGGTTAGGCCACTGCTCCTAGACCCAAAAGACATTGAACCTAATGACGACTAGGCCCAAAAGAGAGACCACCGTTATAGTCAATGGATGACTACCAACAGATCCAAGAACTTACCACTAGAGCCAAGACCTAACCAATTCTATAGCCAGGAAATAAATGCAAACAACACTGCAGCCAAGTCAGTACTACAATGGCCATCATAAGAGGAAGGGAAGAACTGCCAAAGTCAAACTATTGCAGAGAGTGACGACCACCACCAAGCTATACCTAGAAAGCAAATACCACCATATTACCTGAACTGTTAAAACATCAGCTTTAGGCACATGCATTTAAGCCACACTCAAAATGTAAGACACTTACACTCAGGAAACATAACATGTTCAGGGCCGGTCTACCAGACTGCCCAATATCCAACATGCCTTCCTTATTTGTAAAGCTGGCCATACACCTATAGAATATCTGCAGATTTTCTATGGTCAGATGAAAAAGGTGCAACAGATTCCTCCATCTACACTAAACTGTGTGGTTGGAGGAATCTCCAGCTGGGCCAAGCGTCAGTATCTTGCTAGTCAACCCCGCTGGCTGTCAAAACACCTGAACAATCTGATTGGATGCAGGCACTGTTCAGGTATTTTGAGAGCCAGCGGGGCCGACTAGCAAGATAGTGAAGCTTGGCCCAGCGGGAGATTCCTCCATCCACACAGTTTAGCGTAGATGGGGGAATATGTTGCACTTTTTCCATCTGACCATCTATAGGTGTATGGCCAGCTTTAGACATCACAGAAGATAAGCAGGCCTCAGAATCAGTACCAGATGCTGACCAAAAATTGAGGCAGTCCAGAAAAGGAGAGAGTGAAAAGCATTCAGCTCTAAAGATGTTATCAGTTGCCATCTGACGAAACTGTGTGGGGCATGTAAAAAGGGTGCAAAAGCCACGCTCCATACTGGTGCAGTGGGTTAGGCTGGTGGTGTAAGGTACAGGCTGTATTGCCTTTGCCTGGCAATGAGCATAAACCAGATATAGCAGCCATATAACTAGGTCAAACTAGCCCAGGTTTTAGAATGAACTGTACATGAGGCTGAATAAAACTGCTACGGACATGGAGCTAATGAAGTGTCCCCACAAGATCTGTCACCACGTACAAGCACCCCTTGCTTTCCCTCCTGTATTATTCTTATGGCAGGGCTGGACGAATCTCAATGCTCCTTAAAAAATACAGCTGGCACCTAACTTCTTGAGATCTTCTGTAGTTGTTGTTAATGAAGCTGGCTCCTAAAAAAATCCTGCTGGCTCCTTGATTGGACAGACTTGCTCCTATACACATATACACACACACACACACACACACACACACCTCAATGGAAGCTGAAATTTGGATGGAAATTCGTTTTTTTCTTAAATCTCCCCTCCTTCCCTTTGTTGTGTCTTCAACGTCATTGGAGGTACCGTCACCCGCCTTGGTGGGTGGACAGCGTTTCTGGTGGTACATGGTGGCATGCAACAGATACTTGGTGCTCAAGCCCTGGAAGACTGAGCAGGTGGTTTGGTTAAAGCAGGGGTAGGCAATCTCAGGACCCCAGCTCTTGTGGAACTACAAGTCCCATGAGGCAATGCAAGACTGATAGCCACAAGCACGACGCCCAGAGGCATAACGGGATTTGTAGTTGGCTAAAGTGTCAAGGATGCCTATCCCTGGGTAAAAGATTTAATGCCAGTATTGTTCTGTGTATTTATAGCTAAAGCTGCGGTATAATAAAAAGGTTAAAAACGATCACATTTTGTGTTAAACCCAAATAAAGGGTTGCAGCCATCATTTTCCACACTACAGTTTCCTGGTTTTATCATGGTTATTGATCAATCTATTACTGTGTGGATGGTATTGGGTTAGTTGTTTTTGGGGGTTTTTTTGTTTGGGTGTGTGTTTTGGGGGGGGGGGGGGGAGGGTGTACAATGCAATGGCCGGGAGGTAATCCTGGTTGGCTTCAAAAGGTAACAGCCGCCTTGACAAGTTTAAAAGACCATGTTGTCTGTGACATCATCAGATGATTATGGAAGTCTGGGGAAAACATTCCTCTCTGCTCGTTTAGGAGGCCGATATGTTCTCCGAGTTAACCAGTAACTGATGAATCAGCAGACAGGAGCCTAGATCCAAATATTTACAATGACTCGGAAATAGTGACGACAGTCATACAGAAGTCCAGTGATAAAGGCAGACATAATCAACAGCAATATGAAAAAGCCAAACAAGTACACAAACAATGACAGAAATAGTTAAACAATCCCACCAGGACTTGAAGGACTGGAATTGTCAAAAACGAACAGTCTCTAATGTGTTGCTTCCCAGTGATATTATTTAAATAGATCCCCTGAGGACAAGTGCTGCAGAGTTTTAGTAAAACAAATTTAAATCACAGGTACTTAAATAAAATAGAAGGATTGAGATACAGTTTTAAAAATAACAGAATTTAAAGCCCATCTAAACTCTAAAAACAACAATGTAATAGATTGCAGTAGACAAGCCCTTAGATGTAGTAGCTGCATTTATTTTCCTTTAAGTTTTTTTCCACTTTAATTTCCTCTGGTGATCCTGCCAGTAACACACTTCCTGTCCCAGGGTGACAACGCTCCTTGTACTGTCCCTATAAAAAGGAACAGAGTTGTCACACTAGGCCAGGGCTGGACAAATCCCAAGACCCAGGTAGCAAATACTCCTTAAAAATTGAATAGACTCTGGATTCCGAATTACATATTAATCTGCCCACCTGCACTAGGCTACTCTCCTGATAGGCTTTGTTCACACCATGTTCGGACCAGATCTGCAAATGCAGTGCATTTTTGTGGCGTTGCTGTTTTTTTTAGTTTAAAATAATCTTTCAGGTGCATTCCAGTGCATTTGCATGCGTTTTCATGCATTCCAGACCAGAGAAAATGAAAAAAAGCATTTTTTTTTGGGGGGGGGGGGGGGGTCTGGACTGGAACAGACTGCGCTGGTGTGAAAAGAACCCAGAAATACCATAGGGATACATTGGGATGCTTTTTTAGTCCAAGAATAAACTGGTCTGGTCATTATTATTGTACAGGATTTATATAGCGTCAACAGTTTGTGCAGCGCGCTACAATATAAGGAAGATATTACAACCACAATACAAGACAAGATGGAAAGGAGTGCCCTGCCCCTGAGGGCTTATAATCTAAAAGGGAGAGGCAAGTGGACATGGTGTGAACAAGCCCTTAGACTGAAAACACCTTCCGCTCTCCTCATTCCCGTTACACAGAGGGGCACTGCTTTGTAGTTCACAGAAGATAGCTGGGAAAGTTGATAAGGGCTCCTGCACACAAATGTATTAAAATACTCCCATCTACATTGGATCTTTCTGGGTACTGTTGCCTGTCTTCTGTTTACTGATGTGTGTAAGCTAATCCTATTGGGTAGAATATTCCTTAATCCTAGCCATTAGAATGAATGTACTCGTTTTCATGCATTTACACATGCATGTGCATAAATTATACCAGTGAGCTCCTCTCTGAGCGCAGGTTTGGGGCATTTTATTTTTATTCCCCTGAACGCTGCTCCAAAATATGATCTCAACTACAATGTGCTGGGAAGCCTTGGCTGAAAACAGAACTTATTCAGAGGCAAAAAAAATTATCTAAATATGTTGTTTTTTCTCTGCATGACAGCCAACATTGTGTGAGATTTCAGTTCCGTCCACAGAAAGTTACAAGGACACAGGATCTCGGGCAGGGTAAACAGGTATGTTCCTGCACGTGGGGAAAACGTACTGAACCTTAAGAAAGAGTAAACAAATACAGTGTCCGCATCTGATGACTGGTAAGCTGCAATATATGACATCATTGTTCATGAGTTTACATCAGAGGTGAATCTGGAATCCAGGAACAAGCAGGATTTTTTTTTTTTTTTAGGAGCCAACTCCATTCACAAGAACTAGAAAATTCCCTTAAAAGTTAGGCGCTGGCTGTCATTTTTAAGGATCATTGGCTACCTGGCTCCTGGGATTTGTTCAGCCCTGGTTTCCATACACTTTAAAAAGAATAATACATGTGAATTTTGTTGCATTGCTTGGTAATTTCACATGGTGAAAGTTAAGTGATCAGTGTAGAGAAAGTCGTGTTATTATATATGTTCTCTGCAGCAGGTTGAAATGCAGGCATTCCTAGTGATCCCCATTGACCGTGACATTCCACATCAGCATTCAGAGAGGGAAGTGCAGTTTAAAAAGAAAAGTAAGCCACATGTATAGGAGACTCACCAAGGTAGAGCAGGATGAAGATGCTGTGTACACCCTGGTGACCATGCTGGCTGGCAGGAGATGCAGATCTGTCAATGCCCGGTCACCCAGCCCTCTATGTCAGGATATGAAATCGCAGTCCAATCACCCCGGGATACGATAAACACGATCACTGCTCCAGCTGCTCTTCTCTTTACCACCAACGGACACCCGAGTGTGACCAGGTGCCGCCTCCTGCACCGCCCTGTTCGGGAGGGAAGGAGGAGCGCCAGGGAAAGGGCACCGAGCTCGGCCATTCACATCCATCACCTTCAAAACAAATCAGAAAGTATTAGATCACAATCTGTATTATCCGACCCACCAAATATACGTATAGGTCACGGCTCCGATCGGAATATCTATTTCATGCCATACACGGGTCATTTATTACTAACAAGATAGTGTGTGGCAGTCAGTACTGCCATCTTGTGGACATGCCTGGTATTACTCCATGCTACCTGTACAATATCAATTCTACACAAATCATTTATTATATAAAGCTAATAGTGGAAATTTCTGTCTGCCTAGCACATTATAGCAACGTATGAGATTAGGAGTGCAACTAAATGGGCAACGTTAAGAAACATGCAAAAAACAAACACTGATGTATCATACTATTAAAAATGATCTGCAAGAATGTAGCCAAAAGTGAGCCAGTTACCAGAAACAGGAAAAGCTACAGTGTTCCGGTTTACCCTAGTGCCTCATCCCCACTGCCATTCTGCACTCCCTGGAGATCACATCCTCACATTTGTAGTTCACCATCCCTTCCCAGGAGATCACATCGCTGTAGCTCACCGTCTTTCCCAGGAGCTCACATCCCTATAACTCACAGTCCATTCCCAGGAGATCATATCACTGTAGCTCCATGTCCTTTCCCAGGAGCTCACATCCCTATAGCTCACCATCCATTCCCAGGAGATCACATCACTGTACCTCACCGCCCTTTCCCAGGAGCTCACATCCCCATAGCTCACCATCCATTCCCAGGAGATCACATCACTGTAGTTCACCAACCTTTCCCAGGAGCTCACATCCCCATAGCTCACCATCCATTCCCAGGATATCACATCACTATAGCTCCCCGTCCTTTCCCAGGAGCTCACATCCCCATAGCTCACCATCCATTCCCAGGAGATCACATCACTGTAGTTCACCAACCTTTCCCAGGAGCTCACATTACTATAGCTCACCATCCATTCCCAGGAGATCACATTACTGTAGCTCACATCTCTTCCCAGGAGCTTACATACATGTACCTCATCCTCACTTCCCAGGAGATCACATTACTGTAGCTCACATATCTTCCCAGGAGCTTACATACATGTACCTCATCCTCCCTTCCCATGAGATCACATTACTGTAGCTCACATATCTTCCCAGGAGCTTACATACATGTACCTCATCCTCCCTTCCCAGGAGATCACATTGCTGTAGCTCATGGTCACTTCCCAGGAGATCACATCACTGTAGCTCGCATTTCTTTCCCGAAGATCACATTGCTGTAGCTCACATCTCTTCCCAGGAGATCACATTGCTGTAGCTCACATCGCTTTCCAGGAGATCACATAGTTATAGCTCACATCTCTTCCCAGAGGACATCGTTGTAGCTCACATCTCTTCCCAGGGGATCACATCGCTGTAGCTCACATCTCTACCCAGGAGATCACAATGCTGTAGCTCACATCTCTTCCCAGGGGATCACATTGCTGTAGCTCACCGTCACTTCCCAGGAGATTACATCCCTGTCACTCACTATCTCTCCCCAACAGATTACATCTCAGTAACCAAGGCCGACCTTTGGGGTGTGCTAGCTGTGCACCATGGCAACAGGGGCGCCAGGTGGCCAGCACAGCTCGCTATGACACAAACTGCAGGCAGGGCCGGATTCTCCACAAGGCCACCGAGGCAATGGCATCGGGAGTAGAGGGGTGGCACAGTCTGCAGCTTCTCCTCGGATCCCCGCTGCTCTCCCCTGCCTGTATGGGCAGAGGCCGCGCGGAAACGAGGAGAAATGGAGCGCTGGAGCCAGCAGGGGGGCGAAGGAGGGAGTGCTGTCATTAGGATGGACAAGCGGGGAGAAGATTGCAGAACCAACGACTGTCAAAACCATGATGAAAAAAGGGTCTGCATGACACCCTGACACTTTATTTTTACAGACTATTTTAGTTTAACATTTATTGGTTACCACTTGTTTGTCTACTGTTGTTTTATTTATTAGGAATACTTATATTGTGCTAACAAATTTAATACCTTTGAATACAAGTTTTTCTTTTCATTATGTTTTTTTGTGGCTGAACAAAATGAGAGGCTTCAAATGGTGCGGGTATTGGAGAAATGGGTGTGGTCACTGAGAGGTGTGGTCACTGTACTGTACTGTAAAGCTTTCTCGCACAGGGCGCCTAAAGGCCTAAAGGTGCCCATACACCTTACTACCATCGCAAGACAAAAGTCTTGCGATGGTTGTAAGCTAATTAAAAGCTGGACAGGCAGATCGTACTTGCGATCATCGCCCCTGAGGGGCGGGCTTGCGATGACTGCAATAGGGGGCGGGCTTTTCCGATGGCTGCAAACGGGCAGTGTGCGCGTGCGCACACCGGCCGTTCAACAGTTGTCGAACAAGCAGGCCACTAACCCGCCGAGAATCGTACGAATCCCAGCGGGTTTTCAAGTGTGCTTGCTCGATGGAAGACGTGCGACCGTACAGTAGAAACGGTCGCACGCCTTCCATACACTTTGAGATTATCTTACGATCGCGGGATTTCCCGCGATTATCGTACGATAATCGTACAGTGTATGGGCACCTTCAGGCTGGCTCTGACTGTAACTCACTATCCCCTCCTAAGAAATCGCATCGCTGTAGCTCACCATCCCTTACCAAGAGATCACATTGCTTGTAGCTCACATCGCTGTAGCTCGCCATCTCTCTCCAACAGATTACATCACTGTAAGGCCATTCACACATTAGCTGTTTTGGGCATGTATTTGTACGCGCAGAACAAAGCAAAACATAAACATTTATGTATTCCAATATACCTTGTTCATCAGTGCAGCAAGAAAACAGTGTCACCAAGCCGGCCCCTAAGGTAGGGCTGGGGAGGGGGAGCAGAAGGGCTAAGCCTTTACGATATCCTCCTCTGCTCCTCCCAAGCTGTTAAATTAATAAGTAAGAGGATAATTGAATATTCATATCCAATACTGACAACCCCTAAATTATGATGCATCCTGAAGTTAGCTTTAGATTGAAACCAAACTTGGCGGAGATATAAATGATGGTTGGGCTAGGAGGGTAAATGTCACCTGTCAGCCCATTGACTGTCATAAACTATTGTTGGTATGTACAGTATGTTCTCGTCCCGACGAGACACAGCTATTTGTGCCATATCTCTCTCTCCAATTCGAAGTTATGAAATTGGGTTAATAATGTAACTCAGTTTTATGACTTAAGGGTGACTCGGAGGTAACCTGCGTCATTAGTAGGGATGCACCGATAATGGATCTTGGGTATCGAGTACAAGCACCAATATTTTTTTTTTGATACTCGCCAATACCAAATACCAATACTGGAAGTCTCATTAAGGAAGCCGGACGGCGTGTAATGACTCGCCACCTGGCTTCCTGATTAGCTGAGAAGTGGTCTCCGTGCTCCCTCGTCACCAGGTGACGAAGAAATGGAGCCGGATTTCTAGCCAATCAGGAAGCCAGGGGGTGCGTAATGACTCCCCACCTGGCTTTCTCATTGGCCAGGTTCTCGAGCAATTAGAAAGCTGAGCAGCGAGTCATTACATGCCACCTGGCTTCCTGATTGGCCGGGAAGCTGGCTCCATGCTCCCTTGTCACCAGGGAGCGGGAAGCCAGTTTCCCAGCCAATCAGGAAGCCAGTGGGCAAGCCATTACCTGCCCCCTGGCTTTCCGATTGGCCAGAAAGCCAGCTCCCTGGTGACAAAGGAGCATGGAGCCGGCTTCCCGCCAATCAGGAAGCCGGACAGCATGTAACGACTCGCTGCCCGGCTTCCTGATACCGTAAGTTCCCGTATCGGGATAAGCATCGGAAGCATTTGGTATCGGCACTACAACTGATACTAGTATTGGTATCAGGGCATCCCTAGTCATAGAGGAAGGAGCCGCGAGCCGAGGACATGTGAGGACTGAAGACGGCCCTGCCGTGTGCAGGCACATCGGACGGCTGTGAGTACCCAGCAAGCAGGAAACAGACACTGGGTTTTTCTGCAGCCTGAATCCCCCACCAGGAAACAGCAGAAGACCAGCCGGAGAAGGTAAGGGTAAATAATTAATGAAAACAATTATTATTTGTAGCCTGATGTTGTGTAAATTACTGCTGGTATTTGTAGTGCTCTATAGCAGGTCCCATTCTGCATTGTAGCAATGCAGCAATGCAGAATGGGACCCTCTATAGAGGACTAGAAATCTCAGCAGTACTTTATACAGAAATGCTATAGTTGTATAAAGTATTGCTGGGATGTGTAGTCCTCTATAGCCTGTGCCATTCTACATTGCTGCAAATATTAGGGACGCACCGATATATCGGCCGCCGAAACATCAGCCGAAAATGGCACTTTTGGCTAAATGCCTTAAGTGCCATTTTTTGGCCGATACAGCGGTGCATCCCTGCTTTCCTTCCTCCCCGCTGGGCGCTGCTCTGTGTCCCAGCGGGGAGGAGAGGAAGTGTCCCAGACGGCCGAGCGCTGTGGGAGGAGAGCGCTGTGAGCAGCCAGCGTCTCTCATCCCACACCGCTCAGCCTCCTATTACAGTCCGGTGTTCTATCGCAGATTGTGACTGCGTTACAATGTGTGACCGCTGACGCCATCACACTTTCTAATGTAATCACGCCCATTTTTTCTGCGGTAGAATATGTGACCAGGAAACAGGGACACCGGCACTCCAATGTTAGTTCAAATATAAAGTATTTTTATTGTAGAAAAAACTACATGTCACAAAGTTGCGACAACCCCGAAACGGTCGTCACAACTTTGTGACATGTAGTTTTTTCTACAATAAAAATACTTTATATTTGAACTAACATTGGAGTGCCGGTGTCCCTGTTTCCTGCTGTTACATGACGGTTGCCGTCCGTCGACCACTGCAGCACCCAGATTCTTTCATGGAAGACAAGCGGTCAGGAGTGCGATGGGTTCATGGATCTAGAATGTGTGACCAGTCACATGGTCACACATTCTAACGTAGCCACACCCATTTTTTTCCAGGGGTAACAATGTGTGACCGGCAAAACGTGTAGAATTCAAAGCT